TGGGCGGAAGTCGGCGGAGGTCGGCAGAGGTGGAGTGGAGGTGGGCGGAGGTCGGCGGAGGTGGAGCGAAGGTGGGCGGAGGTAGGCGAAGGTCAGCGGAGGTGGGCGAAAGTCGGCGGAGGTGGGTGGAGGCGGGCGGAGGGGATCGGGATCGGGATCGGGAAGCGGAAGTGGAGGTAGCGGACTTGCCATGTGGCGATCTTCGCACGTGGGAGGGGGAAGCAGCGGAGGGGCCAGGAAATCTCTCTCTCTCTCTCAGAGGGATCCGCGATGATCCTTCGACCCCCCTTTCAATCAATCGGGCCGAGGTGGGCGTCGAGGAGGTGGCCGAGTGGACCGCAGATGGGCCGAAGTGCGCAGAGGTGGGCGGAGGTGGGCAGGTGGAGCGAAGGTGGGCGGAGGTGGGTGAAGGTCGGCGAAGGTGGGCGGAGGCGGGCGAAGGTGATCGGGATCGGGATCGGGAAGCGAAAGCGGAGGTAGCAAACTTGCCACGTGGCGATCTTCGCACGTGGGAGGGGGAAGTGGTGAACTTGCCACGTGGCGATGTTGTCACGTGGGAGGGGGAGGTGACGAGCTTGCCTCGTGCCGAACTTGCCACGTGGCAATCTTGGCACGTGGGAGGGGGAGGTGGCGAACTTGCCACGTGGCGATCTTGTCATGTGGGAGGGGGAGGTAGCGAGCGAAAGCGGAAGCGGGGGGAACTTGAAAGTGCAAGCAAAGGGGGAAGCCGGGGAAAGTGAAAGTGGGGGGACAGCGGAAGCATGGGGGGAAGCCGGGGGAAAAAGAAGAAGAAGAGGAAAAAGAACATGAAGAAAGAAGAAGAAGAAGGCCAACGCGGAACCGATGACGCAGGCGCACGTGGAGCCGAAGGCTACGCGGCGAAGGTGGGGAAGTCGGCAAAAGCGGAGGTGGAGGAGGACACGCAGGGGGAGGCGGAGGAGGTGGGGAAGTTAGCGGAAGCGGAGGTGGAGGAGGACACGCAGGGGGAGGCAGAGGCGGAGCCGGAGCTGGAAGCCGAGGCGGAGGAAGTGGGGAAGTCGCCGAAAACGGAGGTGGAGGAGGACAGGCAGAGCCCACTTGCCATGTGGGCCACTTGGCACGTGGCGATCTTGGCACATGTCAAACTTCCCCGTAAACGGGATCGGGATGATGGCGACAATGGCAGGGGAAGAAGAAGAAGAAGAAGCAGAAAAAGATTGATTGATTGATCGATTGGTGTCGGCTCAGGCATCAATCAATCAATCAATCAATCAATCAATCAATCGACCAATCAATCAATCAATCAGTCAATCAATCAATCAATCAATCAATCAATCAATCAATCAATTCCTTGATTGATCGATTCATTGATTGATTCATTGATTGATTGCTCTCGTTGGGATCAGCATCAATTTGTCCTCTCTGGTCGGGTCGGATTGGCATTCCAGTTAGTCGGGTCCCCTCGTGATTGAGGTCGCGTCAGCATTGCGACCGGCTCGGGAATCAATCAATCAATCAATCAATCAATCAATCAATCAATCAATCAATCAATCAATCAATCAATCAATCAATCAATCAATCAAAAAGTTAAAAAAAAAGAATTATTGATTGATTGATTGATCGGTGTGTGTGTGTGTGCACACTGCGGGGGGAGCCGAACCCCCGGCAACCAATCGATCAATCAATCGACGAAAAAATCATGCAAAAAAAAAAAAAAATCGCTTTCCGTGCTTATGTGTGTGTTTGTGGCGACGTGTTCACAAATGGTTAACGGGGACCTCCATTTTCAGCTCCTGACTAATGAGACCAAAACTGAAATTAGGGTTTGGGGGTTAAATTTTTGGTTTTTTGGTTTTTTGTTTTTTTGCCTGTTTTTGTTTTTGGTTAACGGGGACCTCCATTTTTAGCTCCTGACTAATGGGGTTGCTATCTGCCAAATTTGGTATTATTTGGGTTATTAGAATTTGTGTTGTTGGGAGGCCTGAAAATCCTGAAATTTGGATGACGTGTTTCATGCCAAAATTGCCTGAAAATGCACTTTTGGGTTGCTGTTTTATGT